ATTGAGCCATTATCCAAGTGTTTGAGTCATTATCCAAATCAAAATGCCATTTAGGGAAGAAAGTTCATACTTCCATTTTGGAAAAGTGACTTTAATCAAAAAGTCCACTCTTCTTGAGCTTTGTATTTATTATTTCGGAACAAGCATCCTCTATAAAATCAGAGCAAGCATGTTTAAAGTTGCTAGCCACCCTACCCTGCCTTGAAACCATATTTGTTTAAGCTTGCTTCAAAAACAAGTCAAAACCCATAACATGTGATTTTGTACTTCTGACTTCTCCAAGCCTCCAAACCCCTTGCCTATAAATTAAACCTTCATTCACAATCATGGATACGAATTGACAAGCCCCCAAGCACCCTTACTCTCTCTCAAACCAAAAATTGCAACACAAGCACAAAACTTGTCATTTCTGACTTTGAAACTCAATCTTCAAATCTACTCGTGCGTTTTCACTTCTAATCCATCGCAAAGCTTCTAATACACATATAAATCATTGTCTTATAAATGTAACACCATCTTCTTCATTTTACATAACCAAAAACAGGGTATTGCAGCTGGACTCAGCCACTCGCAACTTAAGCTAAGCATTGTATTAGCTTCCTAGAGACTCAAGGAAGCTAACCTGATCATTGCAGCACTTTTAATCAAGCTCATTTGTAAAACACGAAATCCATTTTTGAGGTAAGTTTTCTGACTTTTTAAATCTTCATATAGGCATTGTTAGCTTTTATTTTCAAAGATAAAATGTAGATATCATAGCCCTGAAAACTGACCATGTCCTTAGAATTCATTTATGTTGCTTGAGTAGAGAGAATTTTAGAGTTAAACTTTGTGAAAAAGTTAGGTCAAATTTGGTACCATTAGAAATTCTCATTGATCTTTGATTTATAGCTTATGATATTTATATGGTTGAATTCGTATGAAAAAATGGAGCAACTTTCATGTTTGCATTTTTCATTTTGGTTGAGAGATGAAGAAGTTACAGGTTTTAAAATCATGTTGAAATTTCTGGCACAAGGTTGAAGATGATACAACCATGGGCTTGGTTTGTAATATAATGCATTGGTTTTATTTTAAACACCGTATGTATAGCCATCCCAGTGGTAGAGAGCGCGTGCGTAAGGGCCTTATTGCTAAAGGGTCCTGGGTTTGAGCCCCAAGGACACCTTTTGTTTTATTTCTTAACATTTTTGCTTCATTTTGTTCAAACAGCTAGCGTGTTGGGCCTCCAGAAAATGGGTCATTACCATTTTACTTCTTCTCACCCCCTATATGCTAACGTCACACATCTCATTCCATTTTTTTTGTTTTATTTTCTGACTTCACAAAAAATCAATGATGGGCCTAACAAATAAAATCATTTTACTTGTTTACACCTCAAATTATTTCCAAACCCCCTGACTTAATTTTAGTTTTTTATTTTCTTTTCTTTTTCTCTTTATTTTATTTTTATTTTTTAATATTATTATTATTTTTATTAACCAAAAATACCAAAAATATTGTATATTTATTATTTAGATATTTAATATATATTTTATTTTATTTCTTTTAGACAAGAAGACCAAAAATATTTCTTTAATAAATTTCTTTTCTTAATTAAATTAATATTAGACTTAGTTTATTTTAATTAAATTAGTTCAGAACTTAGGAGTTTAATTAATTAATTTCCTTCCATTCATTAGGTTAAAACCTTTTCACAAAAACCCCAAAATTATTTTCTTAATTAACTTAATTTCTTTTTCTATTTAATTTAAGTTTAGTTTTTGTTAAATCCACCTAGACTAGAAAATTATTTTCTTTCTTTCTATTAGTTTAATTAAGTTAAAACCTTTCATAAAAAAAAAACAAATTTTTTTTTCTTTTCCTTTCACATTGCCTTCATTATTTGTTCATATTCAATATGATTGTAATAGTAAATTGGGTTTTATTTGCTTTCATCCTCCATTTGTAAATTTTACCCCCATCTCCAAATGATGTAATAGCGTAGAACTTCACACTTTCGTAAATTTATCGCTTTCAATATAAATGCTAGTAATTAGACTTTGTATGGCAAGATAAAATCAATCTTAGAAAACCCTAATTTCAAAGACAAAAATGCATGAAAACAAACACTTTGCACACTTGCACCTCTAGGGTTAATCCACACTTGTTGCCTATAGATAAAACAATCATGTCCCTAGAATGTGGGGTACTTTAGCAATGACCCTCGAATATAAGATTGTAGTCCCTCGATGATCCTTCAATGTTGCCTTCGGTAAACGATCTTAGACCCTTACAACAAATTTTTAAGGTACCCTACGATGTTGCTTTCTATGACTGAACGACGACCCACGCCTGTCCCTTCACATCCAATGATAGAGCTTCTTACCAAATCAATGGTAAGATAACAACATCTAAAGGAGGAGGAAATGAACAAAGACTTTTTGAGTAGGTAGGACGTTCATAGTTGCTTGCTCACAAATATTTCAAAACATTTTTCAAACACACCAACATTTTCCATGAAATATTTGCAAAAGTCAACACTTTGTATACATTTTCTCCGAAATGAGAATCATTACAAAGTTCGCCTAAACAAAAGCACTTTTCAAAAATACTTTCAAACTATCACAAACACATTTCAAACAAAGCATTTCAAAATGAGCTAGCAACTAATAGCCCGTAGATAACTACAGATGAAAAGGGTGCTAATATCTTCCCTTTTCATAACCTACCCCCCGAACTCAAGAAAATATCTCAAAAGATCATTCTTGTTCTTTTCACCCTTTCCTTTATTGGATAAAAGAAAAGTCGGTGGCGACTCTTGCTATCCACAATAATTGCGATAAAATGCAAAACACCCAAGTCAGTTCTTCCACCGTATTACAAATATGCATCATCATTCATGATTGTTGTACCCCAAAATTTACCCTTTATTTTCTTAAGTCATTTCTCACAAAGGATCCCCAATGACTCAAATTAGCACAAGTGTTGACTAGATCAAATAATCTCCTGAGCATTGGGACCCCAAATTAGGGTTTTGATTTTTACAAGGAAAATTAGACTTCTAATGCCTCAAATGACTTTCACGTTTCATTATATACCTCCAAGAATACTCATGCCAAGTTTGAAGTCTTGGATCACAATTTTGTTCAGCCAATTGATCAGATGATTGAAAATTAGTTGTACTGGTTAAAAAGTCAACTCTGGTTAAATTACAGTCAAACTTCATGACTTTTAGTCCCCATCAACATTTTGAAACCATATTTATCAATTTATCGAGTGTTGATCACAATGCCTAAAAAAACATTCAAATCATCAAAAGGGCAAAATGGTAAAAATTAGGGTTTTGACTGAGAATGACTAATTTTTGACTTTTGCCCTAATACATAATCTAATGACTTGAAGCATAATCTTAAGGACTAAAAAAAATCATTTTGACCTAATTACGTGGCTCAATTCATTTCTCAAGATCAAACAGTTGATACTTGAAATTTGATCAACTAATGAAAAGTTAACTGATACACCAAAAGTCAAACTTTGACTTTTTGGTCAACATTAAGTTTCAAAGTCAAGATTCATCAAGAAATTCAAAAATATGAAGCTTGATCATGAAGAATATAGAAAATCAAAAAGTCCATAAAAAGTCAAAGTTTTCAAGACTTAGAAAATTTTGTGTGTCTTAAACCTTGATAATTTCACTACTTCATGACCCTTTTTCACCAAGATGTAAGATAATTCAAAGAAAACTTTTAACATGAAATTTGTAGATCTTGATGAATTATACAACTTTGTATTAAGGGTTGATGTCCAAAAAATGCTTAGATTTGAAGATATAAGCCCATGAAGTCATGACATTTTTCATAAAACACTTAGTGAAAATTTTGACAAGTTTAGGCAGATTTTTTACCTAACTTCTTGGCCAATTTTCACCTAGATCCAAGATGATTTAGCCAAAATTGTCAACATGAATGTTGTATATAATATTTCAAGCTTTCCAAAATATCCAAGAAATTGAAGAAATCATGCTTGAGCTAAAAGAATCGAAGGCACAAGAAGTTGGGCATTCATTCTTGAATTACAAGTCATTTTTAGGATGAACACTTGACCAAATATTAAACCATGTTGCATAATCTTGCTTTTCAGGCCTTCTAACTTGAAAATCTATCCATGATCATATGTTTACACAACTAATTAAGCCATTTTCCAAGTGTTTGAACCTTTTTCCAAGCCAATTTTCCATTTATGGCACAAAGGCACCATTGCCATTCTTGAAAAGTTGCTTTAATCACAAAGTCAAATTGTCTTGAGCTTTGCAATTATTTCTTCTGCAGACACTTCATCTTTAAGATTAGAGCAAACATGTTTAAAGCTTCTATCCACCCTACAAGCCTTGTACCTTGCCTTGAAACCATGTTTGTCAAACTTACTTAAAAAAACAAGCCAAAACCATAACTTGTGATCTTGTGTTTCTGATCACTCCAAGTTTCCAAACCTTTTCCTATAAATTGAGCTATCGTATACAAGCCAAGGACACGAATCTGCAAGCCTAAAAACTCCCTCAAACACTTTCAAACCAGAATTGCATTCAAACTTCCATAACTTGTCATTTTCTGCCCAAAAAATTATATTTTCACAAGTTAATGATTTCACAAGTTGCTGGACACCTGAATAGATAATATTTTCAACTACATACCAATATGTTATAGAACTCTATTCTATACAGAAAAGTATGCTATCCTATGTGAATTGAGAATCTTTCCAATGAAGCTCAGGTAGAATACTAATGCTCTTAAAAGTGCATGCAGATCTCCAAAACTGCACTGAGATACCTGCTTTCTTATTTCTGTTTGTTGGGATTTGGACATGTGTTCTTTCATTTTTGCTTATCTTTATCTGTTTATTTTTTTGGCATGTAATTCACAAATTAAGTGGTTAGTGGACACTTTCAAAGCTGTAGTAGGTGTGATGATGCTGTTGCAGTGGTTGTTTCTTTAATAACATCATCTGAAAATCCTAACAATATGGATTCTACTGCAGTTCCTTCTGCAGCTTCTTTACTATCCTCTCATTGCATTGAAATTGCAGAAGATATGGGAGCTGAACATGACCAAATCACAACCGTAGTCGACTCGGCTATTAATGTGAAAACGAATGGAGATATTCTGACTCTTATAACTGGAGCAACCACATGTATTATATTTTGAAGTCAACATATGAATCTCAAATTCTAACGCAACACAAGATATATGTATTGAAATACAAAATATCCAGTGGTAGTTCTAAGAATTAAACATGATTTTGTGGTGTCTCCCTTTTAATGTAAATCTTATTTTATGTTATGTTATAATGTATGTTAAATTTGAATCAAGGTAATGATGGAAGGAGAATTCGTTTGTCAAATTCGAGACATGGCTCAAAATGGAGTAGTACAAAAGAACAATGTAGTTCAAAAACAATCATTGAAGTGGTAAGAAAATATTTTTCATATTTTGCTTGCATGATGACTAAAAAGTTGTCTTTGCATGTGTTGAGAGGTTTGTTTCTCTTGTAGGAGAAGAAAGATGCAGAAAATCATGTTGCCGATGATGAAAGCTGTACTGGAACTAATCACACATATAAAAAGAGGAAGGCATCTAAATTAGCTATCTCTAGAAATATTTCTTTATTGCTAGGAAGGGTGAAAACACCTTTCACCACATATATTATTCACTTTGTTAATGTTTGTAATTATTATAGTAGCATCAAATTAATAATGTTATGTAAATAGATTTAAAATTACATGAATAGTATATAATATATGTCTGATAATTGGTTTATATAAAGAAAATGTTATGCATATTTCGGTTAAAAAATTAATCAATTTACGAATCAATGGAAAAATAAAATATGTATTTATATTTATTGGTTTAGTAAAGATTTTGTAGCAGCAGCTGCAAGAGAAGGATAATTTGAGGGTAATTTATTGATTTAGTAAGAACTTTGCAGCAGCTGCCGCAAGAGAAGGATAATTTGAGGGTAATTTACTGGTTTAGTAAAGACTTTAAAGAAAGGATTAGATAATATTTTATTTACACAATCTTTTTTATAAATGGAAAACAATTTATTTTTGATATAAATATTTTTATAAATGGGAAAAAGAGTTTTGTTGATACAAATATTTTTATAAATGGGAAAGTGTATTGTTGATACAATAAATTAGAAACAATCTACTGTTGATACAAATATTTTTATAATTGGAAAAAAGTATATTGATGATACAATTATTTTTATAAACGACAATTTATATATGTTAAAAAAGTGTACGTACCCGTGCGGACGCACGTGTATCCCGCTAGTTGATGAAACAAATGATCAAACAAGTCATAATTCAACTGAGTAGAAGTCAAACAATATTTAAATTGCAAAAATAAACAAATAAAATGCATTAAATTATTTTTAAAAGGTTTTTAATGGAAAATAAAAGAGAAAATGTCAAAGTACTATCAAAACATCAAATAAATGGCAACAAAAATAATAGAAAAAAAAACCAGAAATGACTTAATGTATTTTTAGGAATTTTTGGAGAAATTTTAAATACATAAAAATATTTTTAAACCAATTAAATTACATGAAATAAGATAAAAATTAAATGAAATATCAAAATATAAAATAAATTTGTGAAAAAATTACACAAAGTGTAAAATGATAAAAGATAATTTTCTGGATTTTTTGGGATAAAAATCTGACTTAAAATGAATTTTATAAAAGAAAACAAAATAAAAAAGGAAATAAAAATAAGTCAGAAAAAAGCACGTGCCATTGGATTTGGTCAAATAAATGGAGTTAGCGCAACCAAAGGCCCATACCTAGAGGTTTATGGTGGACATAAAGTGAAAACACATGCTGGATCAATTTTAAATCAACCAACCAAATTAAAACAATTGTTACCACGTGATTGGCTGATACCACAAAAATGATTCAAGCCACCACAAAACCTCTCTGGTCATCTTCTCCGGTGAGTTGTCACTGGAGTTTTGGCATTTTGTAACGTTAGAGCACGAAACTAACACCATTGTGACCGTCTCATCACGGCGAACTCAATCATATGCTTCACTTTCATTTATTGAAAGTGAGCGTGGATAATTTTAAAGAAAACATAGTGAATAAAAATCACGAAAAGTAAAATTAAATGATGAAAACGAACAATCAATACAAGCTAAGTTAGGGGAAATAATCAGGAAGTGATAAGCTCCATTGTGGTATCTTGTTTCAGTCCAAAAGATGCTCACAACTACCTTGTCCAAGTGATGATCAGAGAGGGTGAACTGTGAACTTAGTTAGAGTATTTCAGAAGGTGTTAGAGCTTGGTTTTAGTTGCTAGAACTTAAGAAGATGCCGCGGGTGCTAATGGAAACAAGAAATGGAGTTGAAAGAGCTTAGAATTTGACAACAATCTCTAAAAAAAATTAGTGAAAATTCTGAGTTCGAGCAGAGGTTTAAGGGGCTTTCTAAGCTTGATTTTGAGAGAAAATGAGAGATTTATATACATTTGAGGTGAAAACTTATAATAAGTGTGAGAATTTGTTAAAATTCTTGTGAATCCATGTGCACCAAATGCATGACAAATCTTGAGTGGAAAGGTACCAAAATGCAGCTTAATCCATTGTATTTTAGGTCGTTTTTCCTCAACACTCATCACTCAACATCATCAGGTGTAAACCACGTGCAAACCTTGGATTAATTTGTAGAATTGAGTGACTTCCAAATTCAATTTCTTGTGCAAAATTTAGTTTCATGTTGCCATCTTCAAACCATTATGAAATTCTATGTAGTTGGCCTTTACTTCTCATTATTTTTGCAAAGTGATCATTTCATGACATATAGTATAATGAAAAAAATAAAGTTTCCATTTGGACAAGTGGGCTGAAAGTTATGTCCTTGTAAAGTTGGCACCATGACTTATAATTAGAGGTCAAAAAATTTCTAAGTCCAAAATGACCTATAATATCTCCAAACGCTTGATGACCTTCTGCGCATAATTGGCCTTTGAATAGTAAAGTGAAGTTGTAAAGGATGTCAAGAGGAGTCGTTTTTCCAAAGAATCATTCAAAAATATTGAAAAAGGAGTGATTTATGGTATTTTGAAGTTGGACTTTAAAAGTTGACTTTTAGGTGAAACTACTTTGTACAATCTTGAATCTTTGGACTTTTCTTTCATTCTAAGGCACATTGATGATCATATAAACTTCCAATGATGTATCCTTGATTTCTCTTTGATTAAACTTGGCCAAATCTTGAGGAAACTTGAATGTGAAGGCATGGAAATAAACACATGAACCTTTTGAAATATTTTGAGAAACAAGCAACCAAACTTTGAGTTATCCTTGATAAATGATGTTGAATGATGCTTGAGGAGAGTTTGACCTAAGATTATAGGTCATGCTTTGATGAATTAACCATTTAGAATCAATGGTTAACCACACTTTTGACTTGAGAAAGTTAAAACCCTAATTGAGGAACATCACTTGATCTTCTTGATTCAAAACCCTATCTTGCAAAAGGAACAAAAAGAACAAGGCATATTTTTGTATTTTGTTATGATTAGTGAAACATAAAACATATAAGTACAAAGGTAAAAGATACACAAATAGGTGTTTGATTATCTCCATAAAGACAAGCCCAAATATGAGAGGTTTATGGGATATCCAAGTTTGTGATTTTGATGTAATGCAAAGATGCAAATGAGATGGGATCTCAGGGGTAAATTTTAGGGTATGACAGAAATGAAGAACAAAACTAAATTGAGAGAATTACTGCACATGATCAAGATTAATCAAGACGGTTTTACGTGGGAAGACAAAATTGAGTTTCAGTGATGGAAGCTTCAAGAAACCATTAAGACAATCTGAAGTATACCATGACTGAGAGAAAGAAGATTCAATAGTGACGACTTGGTTTATCAATAAGATATAACCAAATCTACACAGCAGCATCTCACATGCTTCAACGACTCGAGATGTATGAGGAGTATCTTGAAGAATGCTTTGCTTATACCAATGCACCATGAATCCATCAGCTATGGAGAAACTTGTGTTTAATTATGAAACAAGGGTAACATATTACTACACTCAATTCAAAAGTCTTGATGATGAATTAAGTGAATTCCAAACCTTACCTGAATGCAGTTGCAGAGCCGCTAAAGTGTTGACACAAAGGGAAGAAGATCAACGAGTCCATCTATTTCTTAGAGGATTTGATAATGAATAATACTTACATGTCAAGCCAACCATACTCAATACTGATCCATTAACCTCTCTTAGGCGTGTCTTTAATCAAATACAAAGAGAAGAATCTCGTTTTGCAGTAGATAAGGAAATAGGTTCCAAGGTTGAAAGTGCATTTGTGTTTTACTCAGGTGCATATAGGAAGAGAGGAAAGGAATATCACTCAAGATTAAAGTGTGATCATTGTAGGAAAATTGTGTTAGAACAAGATTGGTTCTGATCATATCTCAAAGTTTTGATGATAACAATAAAATATATTTTATATAATTGATACTCTGATGAGCATATTTCTTTGTTTCAGATAATGTTCTGACTGAAGTATTTTCTTAGATGAAAATCATTTTACGTGTTGAGCTGAATAAAAATGAAGAAGTTCTTTGATGAAAGAACTATTTGTTTTAGTGCAAGTTCTGATGCTGACTCTGATAAGAAGCAAATTTAATGCATCTTCTAATCTTAGCAAGTTTCCATGCAAACTCTATTCAGAAGTATTTTGCAAGCAAGCCCTAATGAGAAGTTATTTGCAAGCAAATTCTGAAGCAAGATGTGAAGCTAGTTCTGAAAGAATAACGAAGCAAACAAGTCTTGTCAAGTTTCAGGAAACATGCTCTAAAAGTTCCATTTGTTCATTTAATGCAAAGACGGCTAAAAGTACTCAAGTGTCTCTACGCTAGCTCATTGGAAAAATCAATACTGCAAGTAAACACGCAAATATTAATTGCTCCTCACTTTTGAAGGCAGTAACTGTCATTTTCTTCATGCTATAAATAGAAGATCATTTATTGCAAGCCAACAACTCAACAAACCAAAAGAAACATCTTACGTGAAAATTATTCTGCTGCTTACAATTTATTTTGTTATTTTCACAGTGCTAAACTTATCTTAGTGATAAATCACAGTTTGTGATATAGCTTTCTAAGAAGCAATTTGTTTCACTATTGTAAAGATTTAATTCTTGTATTTGTTCCTTGAGAGACCAAGCTTGGTCAAATTTCTCAAGAAGGCTAGGACTAGTTTGAGTCTTAGTGGTGTTAGTCACTTGTAAGTTTAATTGTGCTTTGAATTGTTAGTCACAACAGTTTGGTTGTGTGATTGTAATATGTTTGATTATAGTGAATTAAGTCCTTGTTGAGAAAGACGAAATCACCTTGGTGGGTGGACTGGAGTAGTTTGCGTTCAAACGAACCAGTATAAAAATAATTGTGTCTTTCCATTATTGTTGAGCTAGTAAGAAAAAGAAAAGGGAAAACTTATTCAACCCCCCATTCTAAGTGTTTTCTCACCCTTTAATTGGTATCAGAGCTTGACTCTGAGCGCAAACACTTAACCATGTCAGAAAAAGATCCAGAAGGAAAACACAATGGCAACTGAACAAAACAACAATAACTACACCAAACCTCTTGTGTTTGATGGAGAAGATTTTGAACATTGGAAAGATAGGCTAGAAAGTTTCTTTCTAGGTCATGATAGTGATTTATGGGATATGGTCTTAGTTGGTTACACA